TAATGGACATCGGCTCCCATAGCTAACAATCTGCAGAAAATCAATGGAAATGGAATTGTAAAAATCACTACTTTTTGAAGACACAGAACTACAAGATGAAAGACCAACCTTAAAGTTGTGTCAACATGAGCGGTGCGAACGCAAGACCACAACTGTTTATTTACGTCATCCAGACTCCATGGCTCTTCGTCCTTTCCTGGCTTGCGAATAAACGCATGGTCAACATATTTAGCTTTGATGAACGCTTCCTTCGTGGGCAGGATGGGATCACTAGAATTTTGCAACAGACAGTAAGAAGGCAAGAAAAGTAATGGCCACAAGTCCTTAGCGAACGCGCCCGCCCTCAATTTTAGTGTTACTGCTTCACTTCATCAAAGACAACAAAATGTACATCATTACCGAGAGTCAGAACCTAATTGATATGATGCAGGTGACAAAATAAATAGAATATTCCTGATTCTGCACTCACTGGGGCAAAGGTTTTCTTTTGAATTTCGAGGAGGAAGCTGGATCAAGCATGGCATGTTCCCATACGCGATTGGAACCAGTTCTGAAAGTATCGTGATGAGTTTTTTCTTGAACGATTATTCGATAAGAACACGAGGAAGAAGAACCACTTGTGTAGCAGCTTCACAAGCTCCAATTGCGGTGTGTCCCACATTCCACGATTGAGTGAACGTACTTGTGAGTATTGCCTGCCTGAATCATGGCTCACTACTGCAGAGCAGTACATCACGAATATTTCTCAGAAAATTCCGGCTTTTTGCGCTTGATAAGATTTTGAGTGGGCAACTTTTCACAAAAAAAGCACCTAGATTCCTGTGAACGGAGCAGCAGTCCGAGCATATGAGAACACCGCGATTGATCGAAGCCCATTGAGGATCATCTGCGCTGCAATCCGCACACTGCACAACATCAACAGAAGATGGAACTGAAAACGGTGATGGCGATATAATCAAGAAAGCAAAAAACTTGAAGAAGATTATTCGTATTAAACCTAGAAGTTTACCTGTCGGAGAGAACACAGCGCCGGAAGTGTCCATCCCGAACACGTGAGGGGTACGTTAGCGGTGGATATCTCTAGCACACCGGACAGAGCGCAGTAGCTAAAACAGAGAACAATGGAAA